AGGTCAAGTAATGGCATGAGACCATGCATATACATGGCTATACATGGCCTATCAGAAACGTTTGCTGCAGTGTGCATGCCACATCAAATGCAGGCTGTCCAAGGTAAATTTGGAGTTCAGGCAAACAGTATTTTGCTTTTAGCGTGAGTGTATCATACCGATACAGTATCGGGGATATACTTATTCTAAAATGTTACTTCTTCATCTGAAATCAAACTCAGAACTGGTATCCTCTTCATAGGCTAAGTCTTGCCATTTTCACGTGGGAGTTCTTGCTGCTACTGGGGTGGTCATTCCCAGAACAGCTGAAGCTGTGTGGGAGCCTGGCCAGACCAAGGACCCAGCAGAGAAGGAGAAAACAACAATCCACACTTTCCCTCCTGCCCCTCCCCCACTCCCAACTCCAAGGGCTTCTGTGAAATGCTGGGAATTAAACCAGGCTGCCATAAGCCAGAGAAGGAAAAATGAATCCGATTTGTAAAGAGTACGTCAGGTGTAAATACAGGATGTGTAATCAAGCAAGAGAAGGGAGCCAGGAGCCTTTGCCTTCTCAGATCTACCTGGGTAGAACTGTCTTCAGCTGATTAAAAAGTAGAGAGACAGAGAAAAAAGAGACAGAGAGAACAGCCTAGATGCCCAGCCTTGCTGGAGCTGCAGTCTTGTCTGTGAGTGCCACTGAAGGAGAAGTGCATCCAGAGAGTGAGAACAAGGCCTGAACCACTTCCTTGTGGGGCTTTTAGCCATCTACTAGGATAATTCTGAGTGCTGCATTGCAAAGACTTCCAGAAACTCAGAGGAGAATAAAGAAGAAAATAACAATTATTCTCGTCCCTGAGACTGAAAGATAACCCTCCAGCCCCTTCACTGAGTCCTCTAGACACCAATGCAGCTTCAGCATTCTAAAATCCTTAATGCTTCACAGCAGCATGAACACTCACTCCTTTAAATGCTTGTTGAGAACCTGTAGTTCTGATTTAATGAAAATTCTCACGTGTTTGGCCTTTTTGTTCCCCCTAAATTGTAAGGGATTCTTTTTTTTTTCATGTTTGGCACAGTGAGCATTAGTCATCACTGATATTTTATTTTATTATATTTTTTATTTATGTTAGAAACAATCTTGTTTCACGTGTCAATCCCAGATATTCTATATATTTAATATATATTTAAAATAACAACTGCTGATGTCCCATGCTACAATTAAGATAAGTGAGGATGTCATTTGATGTTAGGAATTTATAACTTTGTGTGTGTGTGTGTGTGTGTATGTGTGTGTGTGTTTCCATGTGTGAAGGTGCATATTCACATGTATGCTTATGCATGTACAGACCCAAAGTTGGTATCAGGTGTCTTCCTCTATTACCCTCCACTGCTGAGACAGAGTCTCTCACTGCATCCCAAGCTGATTGGTTCTGGCTAGTCTAGCTAGCCAGCTTGTCTCCCCAGCATTGAGATTATCAGAAGCCTCCATTCCTGCCCCCAGAAGCCTATGTTCCCACCCCACTTTTACATAGGTTCTGAAGACTGGAATGCCAGCCCTCAGGTTTGTACAGTGAGCTCTTTATCCACTGTGCTATCTCTCCAGCTCTGTGGTTTTCAGTGTCTGAAGTGGATACATTTTACAGTTGTACCTACAGTTGGGTCGTGGTTCTTCCTTGTTCTTCCTCACCCACTCTAAACTCAGAACCACAGGCTTTTACTCTGCTGAAATGCATTTTTATCTGGAAATCCTGAAGAGATTCGTGGCCAAATAATATACCACTATGTTGCTCATTGGGTAAACCAGACTTCCACATATTTGAAATGCCACAATTATCCTATACTGATCTGGTAGGTCTCATATGCCTGGGAAACCCTTCCCTCTTCATCATCACCAACTTGTCAAAACTGCCACCCACAACCTTCCCTCAAAGTTGTAGAATAATGCCTAATTGCCCCCCTATTATCCTTTTTTCTCTCTGGTAGCATTTAACGTTGACCATTCTTCTAGGGGAAAGCAGAGTCAAGACTTGTGCTAGTGACTATTCTCATAGTTATAGTGAAATACCTAATAAAGACAACATAGGGAAGAAGTTTCTTTGGCTTACAGTTTGAGGGTACTTGTGGCTAGGTGTGTGAAGTGACAAAAGAGGCTCTAGCTGTGATGGCAAAAGCATGAAACAGCTGATGACACTGCACCTATACACAGGAGGAAGAGAGAGATCAACACTGGTACCCATCAGACTTCCTGGCTCCTTTTCCCTTTAACTCAGTCTGGCACCCAAACTAGCTAGGGGAGATCTTCCCCCCTTCCATTAACCCCTCTGGAAACACCCTCCCAGGCATGCCTAGAGGTATGTCTCCCAGGTGATTCAAAAATCCCACCATCTGACAATGGAGAATAAACACCACAACTCTCAGTTTATATTTTGATTGGAATTTTCCTAAAAGATTAAGTAAGTCAGATGTGAAGGCTTTGGCTTCTTCACACAGAACCACCGTGTCTATTTATTCAACATTCTTTTGATGTCTCTCAAAACCTAACATGCCCTCCTCAAAGGGGCTCCAAGTAAGCCTTGCTGTGTCCATCCATAGAGTAGACTGTCATACCTTAAGAAAATGCCCAGAAATCCTTTATTACTTTATTTTCCAGCTAATTACTAGTGTGAGATAGGAAATTATTGATCTGTGTATAATAGCATCAAAAGAAATTGCTTAACTGCCTTTTTTTTAACATATTCCTTTAGGAATTCTAGGCATATAGTTTGTGTTACTCTTCTCATTGTTACACCCAAATATGGCTGAAAGAATAGCAACATAAAGGAAGGAAGGGTTCATTTGGGTTTATAATTTGAGTTTTCTGTCCAACATGGTGAAGAAGTGACAGTTGGAAAAGTGAGTTGAAGCTATAGCAATAGGAACAAGAGGCTGTTTGCCCAAATATGAGTAGAGACCAAGTAGGACTAGGTCCTAAACTTAAACTTGAAAGCCTACTCCCTCCAACATAGTACACACACACACACACACACATACACACACACACACACACACACACACACACACAAACACAAACAGTTTCCACAACCTACCAAACAGCACCACCAGGACCAAGTGTTCAAACACATGAGCCTGCAGACATTTCAAACTCAAACCATCCACAGACTTCTGTCTATTCTTTAATCTTATCTCTGCTCCCTGCCCTGCTGCACCAATGACACTAATAGTAGGACCATGACCTCTTCTTGCTGCAGAGACTTTTAACAGAAGGACGTTTTTAGGATTCTTAGTAAGTGATGCACAGCAGCTGATTTCATGGTCTTTTTTTTTCTCATGTCAAGAAACTGTTCTCCTATTCCTGTCTTATTAAGTTTTTATCAGAGATTGATGTAGAATTTTATCAGGTGTCCTCTGGGAGTTTATTGAGGTCTTTCCTCTTTTAATCTACCTATGTGACATCTTTTATTAATAGATTTCTGAATATTAAAACATTATTGTATTCCTGGAATGGATCTATATGGCATATGAAACTGTTGTTTGCAACTGACTATGTATTATTTAGGGCTTCTTGTTCTTTGATTTGGAGGCCCTACACTGCGTCACACCAGGACCAGCCAGCTCTTATACCAGTTTCATCCTCCAATGAGAGAAAGCTGGAGTTGTCTCCCAGTTTTCAGCTTTTGCATTCAAGTCTTGAGGGTTCAACAGTGCAGCAGGAAGCAGGTTTGTCCCACTATTTTAGGTACCCATGTCATAGGGGAGTTTTTTGTCCTTATTCTTTTGCAACCCTTCAGCCAAACCCTGGAGAGCTCCGGAGTTATTCTGGAAGAACTCTGAATTAGAAACAAAGTACTTAACGGAAACACAGAGAGACTGATAACACAGATTAGTTTGAAAGTGTTTCAATGCTAAGGAATTAGGGCTCTGGGCACTTACAGTGTAAAGATGAGGGCCTGAGTATAGATCCCCAGCTCGCATGTAAAAGCCAGGTGCAACAATGCACAACTGTGACCCTAGAGGCCAGGAGACAGACGGCAGAGACAGGTAGTCTAGATGAGATGGTTTGCCCCAGGTTCAGTAGGAGAACTGAAAACATCATTTTGGTTTTGGTTTTGGTTTTTTGGTTTTTTGGTTTTTTTTTTTGAGACAGGGTTTCTATGTGGCTTTGGAGGCTGTTCTGGAACTAGCTCTTGTAGACCAGGCTGGTTTCCAACTCACAGAGATCTGCCTGCCTCTGCCTCCTGAGTGCTGGGATTAAAGGCGTGCGCCACCACCGCCTGGCTACCATTTTGTCTTGAAAGGCAAAATGGAGAATGGCAGAGGGAGACACATTATGTTGACCTCTGACCTCTACACACATGTGCAGATGAGAATGCACATAAGTAAATGAATTAATAAATAAGTTATCATAATTAATGTATATGCAACTTTGGACAGTTCACTTTGTGGCTGTTAACCAGTAAGGGCTCACTTCTTTTTCAGTGAGACATGGAAGTTTCTATTTTTCTAAAAAAAAAAAAAATCTGCTTCTTTGTAGGTTACTCAGAGATAGGACTGCTGAGTGGGTTTTGCTACCACTAAGTTTACTGCAGTACCTTCTCATTTTCCCCCTCAATCATAGGAACAAATTCATCGTCTTGCGTATTTGTTTTCCTTTTAACTTTCTTAAATCAGATTTACCAGTGGCTAATCCATCCTAGTGACTGTTTTGAAAGTTCTTGACTATGTCAAGTTTGCTGTTTTTAACATTCTAATTTATAAAACTCTCATTTGTTGCCTTCATAGTTTATCAACAATCTTTAGATTCATATCTTTGATTTTTAACATCATGAACTCAAAGGTATATTTGGAGTATAAGTGTGTCATTGATTCTCACTCATGTTTAATAGTAAACATTTATTTTTTTAAATAGCCTTCATCTATTCTTTGACCTCATACATGTGTACAATGTATCTTGACCATATTCTCCCTAGATTCCCTCTCCACCTGGCTCCCCTCCCCACATCCTAACATGTCCCCCTCCCCCTTTCACATCCTCTCTATTTTGGAAACCACTGAGCTCAGTCAGTGCCACCTTCTGAAATGTTTACCTATCTGGGCTTGATCTTCTGCAGGTAACCACAGCTGTGGTGAGCTTCTGAGTGCCGTGGTCATACCATATTCAGAAGATGGCATTACACAGCACTTCTCCCAGCCTTATGTCTCTTCCATTCTTCTTACCTCAACTTCAGTGGTGTTTCCCGACACTGGAGGTAGGTAGGGGTTGCCAATGTCTTATTTAGTGTCCAACACTCAATAGACACTTATTCTGGACATTCTGATCAGTTATGAGGTTCTCCATTCATTGACCGCTGCCCATTACAGAAAGAAATGTCTGCAGCCACAGTTGAGAGCAGCACTGATCTACAGGCATAAATATAAATATCTAGTAACCATATTTAATATGATTCATTTTATCCTAAGTTGACTGTGAATATCTTCCCTTAATTTTTTTATAGTTTTATTTTTTTAAGAATTCTGAAACTTCAGACATGGTTCCTTTATCAGTGTTTAGTGGGTAAATGTAATTTTAGCTTTTTATTGTTAGTAAACCTCTTGTCAATTTCCTGAGTGCTATGGCTGTGGTCTGTGCAGTTTGTTCCTTAGAAGCTGTCCATTTCTTTGTAATTCAGACTTTTCCTTCAATCATCAGTCTACAGATATGCCACAGACACTGTCTTCCTCTGATGATGCAAAACTCATCAACCCTTGTTAAATGCCAAGTTGGTGCTCTGTACATATGGCGTGTTTTTACTGTCTCTGTTCTGTTTTCTGACTTGTCCTGAGCCATTGTTTCCTGTTAAGCTCAATTTGCTGTAATTACGACATTGTGGGGTTTCTCCCTTATCTTTTATTTGTTTATAAATATTATACTCTAATAATTATAATTTCCACATAAGTATTTACGATTCATCAAAGTTATGATTTCTGCCATCTACCAATACAAAAGTAAAACACTTGAAACTACTTAAACTCTAATTTAATATGAATACTCTCCTTTCAAGGTTATGGTTTTCACTTATCCACCTATGTCTTTATCCAACCTGTTATTTTTCAGTCTTTTTTTTTTTCTTAACTTATACGAGGGGTTCCTTTATAGCCAAGCTTGACCTCCTGTCTTAGTCTCTTTTCCTCTGATATATGTGTAACACTGTGACTGGGTAATTTTTTTTAACTTTACCATGCCTTTTTTTTTTAGTTTAAAAGTTACTAAACTTATTTTTCAATTGTCTTAGTTTTGTTTCCTGTAGTTTTAAAAAAGTACCCTAACAAAGGCATCTTAGGGGAGAAAGAGTTTGTTTTGGTTTGCATTCCACATTATAGCCCATCACTGTGGGGAAGCCGAGAGGGAGGAACTTGAAGCTGCTGGTCACATGCACAGTCAAGAACAGAGAGAGTGCAAGCGTGCATGCAGGCTAGTGCTCACTCACTTTCTCGACTCATACACAGTTCAGGATCCTCTGACTAGGGACTGATGCCACCCACAGTGGACAAGTCTTCTCACTCCCATTAATGTAGTCAAGATAACCACCCACAGACAGGCTAACATGATCTAGGCAATCCCTCGTTTAATGGCTCTTTCTGGGCAGTTCTACATTGCATAAAATCATCCAGCATAACTAACCATCACAATCCCACCCCCTGGTCAACTTGACACACATATGTCACATAACCATGACTCTTCACTCCCCTTCCCCAAGGCTGTATGTTTGTCTCATAATTTTAAACAAAGCCTGACTTTAAACACTTACCCATAATCTTTGAGAAATCAAACATTTTAAAAATCCAATGTGAGCCCTATAAAATAAAAAAAAGTCTCATTTGGAATATTCTTATTCCAAAAAGGAAAACATGGATCACAGATGAGAACAAAACAACCCCCAAATCCAGCAGAACAGACAACAAATCTTACAACATTGTGTCAAGTACCCGGAGTTTGTAACACAATCAGCTAGGCTCAAATGCAGTTGGGTAACCCCACCCTCCACCCTGCAATGAATTCCTTTAGCTTAGGCTTTCCCCTCCCCCTTTGGATAAATTTGAAACTACTTAAACACTAATTTCATATGAATAGTCTCCCTTCAAGGTTATGTTTTTCACTTATCCACGTATGTCTTTATCCAACCTGTTAGTTTTCAATCTGATTTTTTTTCTTAATTTATACAAGGTGTTCCTGTATAGCAAGATTGACCTCCTGTCTTGGTCTCTTTACCTCTGATATATATGTGTTGATCCTCTGATGAATGGGGTTTTGCTCTCAGGACATGTCTCCCATTTTCCTACAGTGTCTCGGGAATATTCTCCACAGTGGTGCTGATCTCTCAATTACAGCAGCTTCTTCAGCATCAATTTGGATATCATCCTGCTAGTCAGTCCATCATCCCGCCATTCAGCTTCTCTCTGGTTCTCAGGAAGAGTGCAGAATGATGGCACATTCTTGACAAAATTACCATACAAAAGGCCCCCAGACTAGAGTCCTCACTGGCCTCTGAAACCTCATGAGGCAGACCTCCACTGTTCACGTGTCTCTCGGCAGTCTTTTCTTCCAAGCTTCCATTTGAGTGACACAGTGAGCTCTGTTTCCAGGAGTTAAATGCTTCTCTGTCCAGTGAACAAAACTGTTCCATATCCCTCCTACAAAACATCCCAATGGCTTAAAAGCCACACAGGTTCATCGTAGAAATAATCCCAAATCTCGGCACCAACTTCTGCCTTCACTTTGTTACTGTGAGAAAATACCTTGACCAGAATGACTCTGAGGCCAGAGGGTTTATGTCAGCTCACACTTCCAAGTTACAGCCCATCATGGCCAGGAAGTCACAGTGGCTGGCAGGCACCTGAAAGAGTTGGTCATAGCACAAAGTCAAACTGTGGGTAATTTTTTTAATGCATTAGCCTTTTGAAATTCAATTCCGTGATTTTTATGTCCATTTAAAAAAATTATTTATACATGTATGTATGTGACTGCCCATATCTATGATAAGCATGTAGCAGTTACAGGACAGGAGTCAGTTTTCTCTTTCTACCCTGTGGGCTCCAGGAACAAACTCAAGATGTCAGGCTTGGTGGAAAACGCCCTTCCCCACTGAACCATCTCACTGGCCCAATTTCGTCTGGTGATTCAAGGTTCCCTCGCATTCCTCAGTGGTAGCTCTAGCCGCTCCCTTTACTGTATGATGTCCTTTGGGGGTGGCCTTCATGCATACACTTGTGGGAACACCAGACCTTGAGCAGAGACCCACTTCCCCTTCTGCCTGAGAGTAGGCAGCTGTAAGACAATGTTTAGTAAAAACATGTTTACTAAAAACGATACAATAAGTTCCTGGCCACTTCCCCTTCTGCCTGGGAGTAGGCAGCTGTAAGACAATGTTTAGTAAAAACATGTTTACTAAAAATGATACAATAAGTTCCTGGGAAAGGCCTTCCCACGGAAACCGCCCTGACCTCGACCTTGTCCAAAGACTAACCGCACCTTCAAAACCCACACACATCCACCTCTGGTGTCAGAGCAGAACCAGCCAGGGTAGAGGAGAGAGCAGAAGCTTCTCTGGTGGGAGCCTTTCTTAGGAAGTTTTTCTTGAACCTTTTTGGAGCCTGTTTAAAGTTTTCTTTATATCATTGAACGAGTCTCTGTGTTTTCAATACCCGACACCCTCCGCACTTTCTTGGACACAGGCCGCGCAGCAGACGTGACATACACTTGCTGTCTTTCCCTCCAAGCTCACAATTTTGCTTTTTAAAATTTTACTCAATCTCTTTTCTCTGGTCTTCTATAACTTCTCAATTTGATTTTCTTCCTCCCTAAATCAGTGTTCTATCATCAACTGTTCACACCGCTGATGGGGATGTTCTTCTGCATATACATTTCTCTTGTTGGTTGATGAATAAAACACTGATTGGCCAGGAGGGATAGGAAGATAGGTGGGGTTAGGAGGTGAGGAGAATGCTGGGGAGAGAGGTGGAGAGACCCCTAGGAGACACCATGAGGCCCAAGGAGTAACATGCTGGATTAGGGATAAGCCACAGCCTCGTGGCAATGCATAGATTAATAGAAGTGGATTAATAATTAAGACAGAGCTAGCCAATAAGAAGCCTAAGCCATCGGCCAACCGTTTATAAGTTAATATAGCATCCATGTGTTTATTTGGGGCTAATCGGCTACAGGACCAGGCTGGAAAGAAACTCCAGCAACAAACTGCAGTTTTAAAGTCTGAATTATTTTACAGAGCTATTGAGGGTCTGCTTTTATCCAGATATAAGAAATGCCTGGCCAGATGCTTATCTTTCTAGTATGCAGGGGATTAAAGCAGTATATTAGGAACTCAAGGCAGCCTTGGAAACATAGTGAATACAAGGCCAGTCAGGGTTAGATGAGACCTGGTCTCAGCAATGGTAACAAAAAGCCTATTCTGATTTCATAGGTGCAAAGTCTCCTTGATCTTGATTTTCAAAAGGTGGGAAGGGCTGGAGAAATGGCTCATCAGTTAACAACTCTTGCTGTTCTAGAAGATGGGAGTTTGTTTCCTTTACCCATGTCAAGCAGCTCACAACCACCTGTAAGTCCAGCTCCCTCTTCTGGCCTCTATGGGCAACTCTACTAAAGTGCACATACAGTACATCACAGACACACAGGCATAGACATCATTAAAAATGAAATAAATCTTTAAATTTTTAAGAAAAATTATAAAATGACGACTAGGAACTACAAATGTTCTGGAATTTTCTACTCCTTTTTTTTTTTACAGAGGAGGTTTCAGAGTCTGCAGAACTGTCTCACGATAAGTTGTGTCATTGTAAAGGAAGGTTTATTTTTCTATCATTGAGTTGCCTTGAGTTTAATGCTAGACAAACATTTCAGACACAAGATAAGGATGATAGGGGAAGTTTCTCTAAATGCAGCACAGTTAATAAGAAGAAGACCTACTCCTCCTCAGGCCTCACCCATATGCTTGGGAATGCCACACTTCTGGAAGTAGACTTTCTTCTCTCTGCCTGGCTGGTGGCCAGTGCCTGGGGTGGTTGGTGACTGTTGGCTAGTCACTGGGGAGACTGGTGGCTGGAGGTTGGCGGTGCCTAGTGGTCTATGACTGGTGACTGGTAGTATCCAGATGTGTTCTCCTTGGTCTCCTGGCCAGCACCTTCTTTGCTCAGGAGTGACAATACAACATGAAAGGTCTTTCCCAGAGAGTTCTCTGAGAACCACTCCTTCCTTGACCAGATGAGATTGTCCAGGTTGACTCTTTAGTCTACACAGTCCTATGTGCAGAAAATGTGGATAGAATGTCCTGTGATTGCCACCTGTATATACTATGATAGCCTCTACTCCAATGTTGAGTCTTTATTGCCTTTTTATGTTTTCCAGTCCCTCCCATGGAATCTGTGTGGTAAGGAATGACAGATATGGTAACTATGGGAGTAAAAAAAAAAAAACTTAGCTGAAAAGGGGAAAGCAGATCAAGATCCAGGAGGGGAGAGGAGAGGAAACTTATTACCCACTGCTATCTCCAAACATAGGAGAGGCCACTGCTGTGCTAGGTCCTGAAGACCACTGACCCCACCCAACACACCCCATGGACACCGTGGCTCAGTTCTTCTGAAAGCTGCTGATCTGGAGAAGTCCAAGTAAAGGAGGTTCCAGCCTTTTCCCAGAGGCCCTTCTGGTTTCCCACATCCCTGGAGGTTGTATTCCCCGACCTCAGAATCGAGAAGGCAGAAGTTAGCAGGCTCCAGCAACACCTTCTGGCCAGACCCAGAACTCCACCCTCCACACTAAGCTTCCTGGGGTCAGCAGATTCTGAAAGGCGCCATTCCTCAGCCCTGCACCTGGAATATATAGTCATGGTTCCTCCGTATAGGGAGGACCCTCTCATGCTTGCATTAAGAAATGTTCTTAGTCTCTCCATCCAGGTTCAGAAGCCACGAAGGCAAAGCTGTGTGCTCTCCGTATTACAGTGACAGTAACATTTCTTTGAGACCTTCGCGGACACGCTGAGACCAAGCAGATAAATATGTACTTCCCTGACGCTTTCTTGCTTTGCCTTTGTTTTCTAAAGAAGCCCTTGTTTTGCGTGACTGATGGGAGGCAGTGCGTGGGAACGCCTGTAAATCTGCAGGAAGGGAGCTGGGAGGGCAGCGGCATTCTTTATCCTGCTCCCCCATCGATCGCCTCTAATGAGCACCAGTACAGCTGAGGCTAATGGTACTGCGTCTGGTGTTAAGGGCAAACGTGGGAGAAGATTTTCAACCCAAGGGGCTTAACAGTTGCTGGACGGCCCAGAGCCCTCGGGGCGAGGATGCACTTGAGAGGTCACCGAAGCAAATGAGGGGAAGATTTGGTGCCTCTGGAAGAAACGTGCAGGACTGGGTTTGGGTTTTTTTCCCCCCAACAGAGACTACAGGCATCAACAAAACCCTCACCTTCTCCTGCTAGTCATTAGTCCCTGACCCTCACCCGATAAGAAGGCTCCTACTAGAGCCGCCTTATCCTAATTATGACTCATCAGATGGCAACAATCCTACCCAATTAGTGCGGCTTAAGCAAGGGGCACTTCACAGACTGAGGTCCAAGCCCTGAGTGATCCAAGAAGGACAGAGGCTGCTCCAATGCCCCCCACCCTGCTCTGTTCCTTACCCAGGGGTTCAGGCTGCCATTTGATCTGCTGTGCTTGATATCTCTTCCTCTGTGTTGCCTGCTGCCCTCCTACCTCAGAGATCTGAGAGGGGCCAGATGAGTGGCCATATGAAGGACAGAGGCCAGTGGCCTTCAAGGGACAAGTAACTGACAGATCCTATAGAATGCTTGCAGTCACATGTTAGCACAGACAGGGGGCCACAGGTATTAGACAAGATAAAAAAAAAAAAAAGACTGGCAAATGCCTTCAGGGATCGGGCTCTCCACACACCCTGAACTTTAATAGCATAATGGAGTCATTGTAGTTGGGAAAAGAATCCTGAGCCAGCAGGGAGAAGGGGTCTGCTGCAGCTGGGGGTATGAGACAGCAGGGGAGGGGCAGAGTATGATAGGGAATACATCCTCTGCTTTGCAAAAGTGCCCAAACCACTATTTATTTTAATGCTGTAAATAAGCAATTTAAATAGTACCCTAGTTCCATAATAAGTAACGTGGTAATGTGATACCCTGAGGTTACAACAAATTATTTATTAGGTTTTTTTCTTTTAATTCTAAGGCAGCATCTTTATAGCTAGGAGACTTCCATTGGGTCAAATCATTAAAAATCTGGGTGCAGGTATGCCTCCTAAGTTAGGAGTGTTACCCCCTGACACACAGGTTTCTCTAAAGCTGTTACATAGCTGCAAAAATGTCCTCAAAAACTGTTACTCCACAAAGACCACAAACCCCCAAACCCACCCTGCATACACATACACACACACACACACACACACACACACACACACACACACACACGGGGGGGGGAGCATAAAAAACAAAAATAGTTCCAAGACCAGGACTGATTCCCAAGAAGTCTGTGCATTGAAGGCTATGCACATTAAAAAGAATGTCTCTGCCATATACTTAGTGACACTGACTAGAGCGGCAGAAAAAGCAGCAGGCTTGAAATCAGAAAGCTAGCTAATTGACAAGCCAATATTTCCTGGCTTCAGCTTCCTTTCCTGTAAGTAAAGTGTGTAGATTAGAGAAACCCTTAACAATGGAAAAGGAAAGAAAAAGAATAGTTCAAAGTGGCAAGAACCTTCAAGTGTTTGCCCCTGCATTCCTGCAACCAAGTCTGGAGGACATCAAGTTTAACAAAGTCTGAGATCAACTTTCTCAGGTCAAAGATCAAGAATTGCAGTAGTTTTTACCAGGAAAGCATCAAGGGTAGGGGCTGCGATGCCACCACCAAGGAGGAAGAACTTTGTCTGGCATGGACTGAGTACGAGTGTATTCCTGGGGGCACTCCCACATAGTCAGCTAAAGCACCCTTTGGTAGCCTCGTGTCAGGCATGACTAGACACAGAGACGAAGAAACACAAATCCTGAGTTCAGAGATTTTGACAAAGTCAAAGAACACTGTGGACCAGCTGTGATTAGGACCCAAGGGAGAAACACAAACCCAGTGACTGGTGCTCAGAGCAGGAGCCTCTGGGTGCCAAGTGATAGTGGATTAAGGGTTGCAGGCCCTGACCAGGGCAGAGCACACCCTAGAACTGGCAGTGAGGAGCAGAGTGGTGGCAAAGACAAGAAAGAAACAGAGCAGGGATATTTAAGGAGGGTGTTAGATGATACATAGAAAACTCTCAAATGCATTAGCAGAAATCCACACCCATGGTATTAGAGGGATACAGAAATGAAATGTATGTGTGGGTTTATGTATTGTATGTTTTGCTTTATTTTTCTAAGCACTCTGTAATGAGTGTGCCTGAACATTAAGATGAGAAATACAATGCATTCACAAACACTGCACTAGTAAATGGTAAATGGACTGACTGGTCTAGATAATAGAAGCTGCATTAGAAGGATAACCTGGCCAAGGACAGTGCCTGAGGAAACACACCCAGAGAGCCAGATGCAAGGTCCTGGCACAGCCATGGCACTCCCCCAGAAGCCCAGGAAGCACCACACAGGAGGTTCCAAATCTTGTTCCACAAATCCAACTAACTTCACGTCAGTGACTTCTCTTCTACTCCACCGAGCTATACCCTGAAAGAGTTGCACTCTCCTCACATTGCTGCAGATGGCGGAGATGCGAAGCATGGTTGGAAATGAAGAATCTGGGGGAGCAGTGCAGCTGCGGCTGATAGAATAAGGGAAGCAGAAGTCACAGTCAAGGTCTGGAGCATCTTGCCCCAAGGTGGGACTAGGAACTACGTTGCTGTTCTCAGGTGTCTGACTATCTGAGGAATGTGGCCTGCCTCAGCCCCTTATGCATCCCATTCCTGCCCCCTTACGCTGCAACAATCCAAGCAAGACTTCTATTTGTCATATCTGTTGTGCAAACCTTTATCAGACATCTTAGTAGAGCTCAGAGTTTCCTATCACACCCTGCACCCTCATGCAGCATCCCAGGTGACACCAGTATTTCTGAATCCTCCTATGTACAGTTGTGTCATCTCAGAGGTGCTATGAGGCTCTCAGTCTGCAGAGGGCACATCACTGGTGTCTGCAATAGATTTGTACCATGATGAACATCACACACTGAACATCACAAGACTAACCAGACAGCACATCTACCCCAAATCAATCCCTACAAACCAGAGATAGTTGTGTAACAAGAGATTGGGGAAGGGCCCCACAGGGAAGCAGGACCTTCATCATAGTGCATAATGCACCATTAAGCTGTGACATCCTGCCTGGGTACATCCCCAACTATATAGATTCACATTGCCAGCCTTGAAAGAAAAAAATAGATATTGAAGAGCTTGAGAGGGCTCACAGCCTTCTGCAAAGCTGCCAGCTCCCCCCTCTTCTCCATATGCCATACAGCCTAAGACATTGCTCAGCTAACTATCAGCAACCATCAAAACACAGAAAAGAGGACCTGAGTTAGATCCCCAGAACCCTTATAAAAAAAAAACTGGATGTGATGGCATACGTTTGTTATCACAGTGTTGATAAAGTAGCTCAGTGGCCAAAAAGACTAGTCTAAGAAATGAGAGATCAGTGAGAGATTTTGCTTCAAAAAAAAAGTAGATAACTTTAAAATTATAACATCTGAAATTAATTTCTGGCCTACCACACGGGGGTGGGGGAAGAGAGAGGAAGAGGGTAGGGGAGAGACAGGCATGGTTTAAAGTACAGATATGAAACAAGAGGATGAAAAGGTTTGTGGCTCCAACGGACGCTGTAACGATAATCGACACAATTACTGAAAGTAAAACTAATTATTTATTGTAGAAATTACTCACAAGATACCAAACAAGTAACCCAGATGAGCCAAGTAGTTTTCCGCTGCCGAACCGGAAGCCGAACTCCGGGAAAAGAGACCAAGACTTCCTGTGTGCTGTCTTTTATGCCTTCCCCCCCGTAACGCCCCCCTAGCCATGCCCAAAAGTGGGCCTGGCTAGTGAGGTAGTTCACCGCCTACGTACGTATACGTCTTTACGTCCAGCCGTATGCGTCTTTAGTCCTGCCTAAAGTGGGTGTGGTTAGCGGTGTGGTAAACCGCCCTTTTATTACCTCATCTGTATGCGCCTCTAGTAAGTCACATGTTTAATGGCAGCATACAGACTTCCTCCTACAAAGGTTCAGTGAGACAGTGACCAGAGAGGATCAGAGTCATACAGACCTTTTCACCAGGCTTGGTTAGAGAGCTGGTGGAGCCGCAGAGGAAGGACCCAGCGATACCACCCACAGAGCTGGGCTGAGTATGTAAAGCTCAGCTCAGGGTCCATCTTTTAAGAGGCATGGGGTTATACAGAGGACACTCTGAAAGTAAGTCTTCATCATACCTGAAGCAGGGACTTGTCCAGCCCAGAGGAAATGGTTGCAATAAGCAGAGCGTAACAGAGATGACTCCAGTCCCTAACACAACCTGACATACAACTGGGAACTTCATTTCAGAATTCCTACTGATGTGAACCCCAGCCCTATCTCAGTGACAAACTAATTAGGATCTACAAAGCAAATCTACAAAGTTATAATCAGATCATTGATCTCTATCAGGGAGACAGATTCCACTGTACACATCTTCCATATAGGTCAGAGGGTTGCAGTAACAGAACATGGTACCACTGTCTCTTCTTATTGAGAAAAAACACAGGATCCCAGGGTCTTTTCTCTGTGTAGAAGTTCAAAAACTGGCTCACCCATTCCCCTTAGTCCCCACAGTGATTTGCCTGGACTCCAGGAGCTAGTATGAAGCAAAGGGTGGCTGGTATGAGTCCCTTGTGTCTGGAGCTGGGAGACTTCTGGACCTCACCACACAGAAGGAGACACATGAGAGCCTGGCTGCAGATGCAGTCAAGCTTGAACTCAGAGCCCTCTCTGAAGGAGACCCACCTACAACCCAGAACTCACCATATCAGACAAGGTAGTAATACATAGCTCAAGTGGCCTATGGGAAGCTGGCCTCTCCACACCTTCCTTCACTTCCTATTCCCTCAGACCAGGCCACACACCAGTCTCAGCATTCCGTGTTGCCTCTTAAGTCTGAGCCTCCCTCATGCCGATAACCCCGCCTCAGATACATTTCTCTTTTCAGCTTGCCTCCTACAGCCCAAACATCAAGAGTGGTTGACTAGAGGCCCATATTTCCCCTTTCCCCATCATTTGACAAGATGGACTCCCCATGGAGCAAAGATGGGAACAAAATTCTGGGAGGTGGTCAAATGGAGAGCTTTGATGTGTTTACTTTCGTATCTTCAGCATCCTGCAAATACTTGACTCATAGGGAAGCCTTATGTCTGAAAATAAAAGCAAGTGTCCATCAAGCATCTCCTGAATGCACAAAAACTCAGTCTTTATACCAACAATATATATAAGGTATGCACAATCCACTTGAAGCAAGAAGACTCTTGAATGAAGACTCATTGACCAGGTGTGGAGCAAAACCTCCAATGGGCCAGGTAGCTACAGGACCCTGAGAAGGAGGTTTTAGGGCGGAACAGCCTGCTTCCTTGCCACAAGTGCCCTGATCTTTACAATGAAGTTCGTGTCTCTTTCTAATGATTTACTGCTCTGAAAAGACAGCCTAGGAATGGTTCCATCTGAAAACCATCCCATGGACCATTCTGATGCATGCAAAAGAAAAGTCAAGAGTTTGCAAATACTTTTATCTTTATTCCATCACTACTGCATATCAAAACAAGTGTGAGAAAACAGCTGCCAAATGAAGAGACGGATGAGGGACATGTTGGAGGTATGGAGGGAGAGAAGCTGGCACTCCATCAGGACGGTGAGCAGCAGAAAGGAAGATCAGCACAGGGTAAACAAAATGTAAGTTATTCCTGAGTTTGGGGTCCCTCTTACCGTATGAAGACACAAACTACAGGTTCACAGGCAACCGGGGAGGCAGCTGGAGTGCAACTGTTGAAGTGTGAAATACAACTTTGCTTCATTCTTCACTAAAAAAGAAAAAAACACTCTAAACAGTGTCAAATCCAAGAAGACTACAAAAATGTTTAAAAATAAATAAATAAATATTTCATTTCTTGAGGTGTTAAGAGGTCCCCATGATGGAACTGTCCTGCACGGTGTCAATGCTACACATACGTACACACAAATCTACAAAGAGACTGAGAACTAAGCACAAACACAAGAGACTAAAAACAGCACTCTGGAGAAAGTCAGCAGGCTGCATGGATGCAGCACTCTGATGCTGAAAAGGAACAATCACCACAGTTGGTGCCACTGAGGACAGTGCACATAAACCAGTGAAGACCAGGTTTCCAGCTGCACCATAGCGGCTTACAATTGGAGGAGTCACCAACTACATGCAAGCCCTGTTGAGCACAGCTCAGACGCTGAATCCTTTTGCCATCTCTGTCATTTTCACATTAAGCTCTAACTACTTGCTCTGCTCATCTTATCATCTTCAACGTCCTTATTCACTGCTGGTGTTGTCATATTTCACCTAATGTGTGCAGTACAAGTGTGCAGTCCCATATATGCAAAGAGAAACAACTGGCTAAGCCTACAGCTCAAAACAACAAACACGGGCTTGCAGGCCACAGTAGACCATGCACAGAATACCCATGACCCTGGGGTTAAGTATTATATCTTAAATGACCCCCTCAAAGTTCATGGGAGAAAATAGTGGTCCCCAGTACAGAGATGCTGGGGTTCACCAGTGGACTGCTACACAATAGATGTTATAGCTTAATGGGCAGTTGGGAGATTATGGAACCTTAGAAAATCATGGCTAGTTGAAGGGAACAAGTTGCTGAGGAAGTGGCTTTGAACGGTATATTGTGTCCTTGGTCCTTCCTTCTCCATAACTCTTTGCTTCCCGGACATCATGAAGTGAGCAGTTTTCTTCCACTATTTCCTTCTTCCTTGGTGTCCCACCCCAGGCCCAAAGCTACAGGACCAGAAACCCATGACCTACAACCCTGAAGCCATAAACCTGTCTTCTTCGTGAGTTCACTCAGGTATTTTGTTATAGCAATAGAAAGTTGGCTGATATGCCCTAATGGTTTATCTCATTAGAGTTTGGCCACTAGTATTTGATGGGGGAGTAATGGAAAGACTACTCAAACAAAAATAATTCACTTTTTTCAAATAGAGACGAACAAATTAGAGGCAGAGGCAGAAGTGGGCCCCCCTGTGGCCTGAGGGCCAGACATGCAGACCACACTCTGGTCTCCAGCTCAGCTTCTTTCTGCCTTGTTTCTGCTATGGCAGATCTCTCCATGTCCCTCAAGTTTGATGACTTCAGCGAAAGCACACATCCTTCTGAAACCTTGGGTGCAAACTCTGGGCAGGATTCTGCAGGTCTAGTGGGGACCAGGAACCCATTTCAGGGAGCTCTAAGGCTGCCTGGGTAGTAAACCCTGATTGACCATCAGGGATCTGGGCTTTTCCGGGTACAGAATGAGAAAGGGGGTGTCAGCTCACTATCAGAATTGGAGATGATTTTAGAATGAAAAGGGAGCTATACTTCTGAGAAAGGAGTATTGAGGAGAACAAGGATGCATAGATCCACTCCACACACAGCTCCTGAGGGTCGGCTAGAAACTGACTTCCATAGGCTTCTCAGATGCGATTCTATTTTAAACTTAGAAATCTTTTAGTCTTGTGGTTCAGCTTCAGATACATGAAAAGGGAAAATAGAATTTCAGAGAACTTAATTTGCAAAGCAATCTAATCGTAAGAAAAAGGTGAGACCCAGAACTATCTGTTCTCAGCTTCTGGCTGAGTTGTCTAGACACCATAGCAGCCATCCAGATGCCTTGAGTATGAAGAGTTTGGTGACATGGTTGCTGCAAGCCAATCCACATTGCTCGTAGACTAGGGAGCCTCCAAACACACTGGCGGAGATTCCACTAAGATGTTTCATGTCCTCACGGAGATAAAGCATTGCAAGAAGAATTTAAAAATTGCTAATCGGTGCATGTTTTGTCTACAGAGATTCACATGAACATGTGCATGTATATATCGGGGGAACAATTTTTTAAATATTTTACTGAGCAGATTCCTGTTCATATTGTTTAGTGATGGCATGGTTTTCTAAGGCCGGGCCACCATGAATGCCCTGGGCTCTCAGGTTGTGGAGAAAAGATCATACGGTAACAGCAGAATTCTGTGTCCTCTGCACTACAGAAGTGTCTTCCTTCAGGAGTAATACTTGGAAAGTGAGTCCTCTTCAGAATCTCTGAGGACTTCTCATCGCCAAAACTCTGGGTACCACTGACCAAAACAGAACTGAATGTTCTATTAGTTACTGCTCTCCTTGCTTAGACCAAATGCCTGGCAAACTGCTTAAGGGGTGGGGGCTGATTCCAACATAAGTTGGAATCATTAAGAAAGAATGGATACTGTCACAGCAGGAAAGGCATGGCAACAGGAACACAAAACTGTTGGTCCCACTTTGCACACAGTCGAGAAGAGACCAAACAGGAAGTATGTCCAGGTCCAGACTAAGAAACTTCAAGTCCCATCCCAACCCCAGTGATTCCCTTTTTCTAGCCAGGCTGTATCTTTAAGTCCAACCCCAGCTGTGATTGGACCAGCCTAAGTTCTATCCCCCTTCCTAAGCTGGAGGAAATAATGGGGAGGAGTTTGCACTAAGGTCCATAACTCCAGGCTTCAAGCCAAGACAACAATAAAGAAGCATCACTTAATGTCTAAGGAACAAGAAGTTCACATCCCTGCCTGTGTGTTGCACTCCATGCCATGTTAAGGCATTTTACCAGCAGAGTGAGTCATCACTCTGCTTCCTCTATTGGGAAAATCCATTGTTCAATGATTTACTTGGCTTTGTGTATTTGAGTAACACCTCTGCTTGGTGGTATTCCAAAAGGTTCTGAGAATGCAAAGGGCATTTGGGGTCTGTGTGTGTGTGTGTGTGTGTGTGTGTGTGTGTGTGTGTGTGTGTGTGTGTGTGTGTGTGTGTAAGTGCTCATGTTCACCAGAAGATCAGAGGAGGACATTGGCTATCCTGGTCTGTCACTGTCTGCCTTATTTGCTTGAGATAGGTCACTTAGTCCAGGGCTGGCTGATGGCCAGTGATACTCCTTTCTCTACTCCTGTGAGTTATCCTGAGGTGACAGGCACAAATGCAGCCACTTCTGGCTTCTGATATTCATGCAGGAATCTTAACTCGTTTGCCATGCTTGTGCAGGGAATGTACTCTTACCAATGAGACATCTCCTCAGCCCACAGCCATTCTTGCTAATTTGTCAGAGAACTAGGCACCTGCACAATTGCACTGCATGTGACAGTGGCAAACTCACCTGAAAAATCCAAAGTCTCCTTCAAAGCAGACCTCTGCTCAGGAGTAAATGCCTTCTAGACTTCCAGGCCCTGGGGGCCCAACTGACCATGCCCCAGGTAGCAAACTCAAGAACAACCTTGCTAGGACACCTCCCAGGTCCAGGCGGTCCTGTTTCCTAACCTGATGCTCCAAGGCTGCAGTGCTAGCTTTCCCAGTCAAACTTTGTCTTCTCTGCTGTGGCAGGGGATCTCACCTTGAGCTCTCCTCTGCTTTCAGACATGAAAACCCCTCATGGACCATTCCGGAACCATGCCAGAAAATTACCCTTGCTAATCACAATGAAATAAAGAGAGCCCGTGTGCCAGGAAGCCAGACTATACTATCTCTGCAGCAACTGTCAGGGAAGAAGCCATCCAGAGTCGCATTGAGAGAAAGAGCTGAACACTGTGCTCTCTCAGGAATGGGAAGGAATTCCATGTCTTTACTTCTGTCTGCCAACAGATGTCTTTACCTCGGAGGACATGCTTTCTGCCTGAGAATGGGGTGGTTTTAGAGGGCTGGCTTGGACCAGCAAGCACACCTGGATTCCTTGCTTCTCCACTCTTTGTGAGGAACACTAAATCCTGATAATATTCTCTGCAGAGACCCGTTAATTCTGCATTGGGGCGCTCTAGAAAAGGCTGTATTCTTGAACCATTGCACTACACATTAATTCCACCTGTCCCTGTTTCTAAGATCGCATTTTTCCTTTGTTGGGTGTGTTGCTGGTACCTTAGCCTTTCTTAAAGTCTGATCTCTGCCTGGGCCCCAGAGTTTCTTCCTGTAGTTCTCTTGTCAGTTCCAAAGACTTTACATATTTTGGCACTAACACAGCCCTGGTTTTGACTTATTATACCAACAGCTGAATCTAAATTGGCTTAGTGTCCCCCTAGAATGACCAAGAGCTTCCCCCCTTTGTCCTGAGGCCTTTGCAACAATCCACACCAATCTCACTGCATTTGTGCTATGGAGTTATTTCCTTCTAATGAGGAGCCGAAACTAAAGCAAAGAAAGAAAGAAGCAGTGACAGAGAGAAATAGCATGCCAATCTGAACAAAAGTCTAAGACCTACCAGGAGATGGTCTGAACTCTCACTAACCAATTCTGCATTCTTCCTTCTTTTTCTGGTATCTTAAGTGCTCCGGGATTTTCTCTGAGCCAGAGAGCTATTCTTGTTCCCCTGAAAAACACAATCTCGGGGAAAACATCAGGAACACTCAATAGGCGCAGCAGACAACCATGCCAATTTGCACAAAGTTCCCTCTGCTTAGGAAAACAATACCTTACTTCCTCCATTTCACAAAACCATTTGGACCAGAAAAGACCGCCTGGAACAGAAAATCAAGTACCGAATCCTGAAAGGCGACGGATCAAGGTCTTTCATCTAGGAAATCTTTAGCTAAAAAGAAAGAAAGGGGAGAGGACATCAATCAGATATTATTTCCAATTATTTTTCAAATTGGAACAGAAAAAGCAAACACACACACACATAAGCCTGACATGGTGTTACTGGAGTTTGTTGCTGGAAGGGAAGTCCTTGCTTATATTGAAGTAAAGTTCTGAAAATAAGCAAAGAACAGATTTATTGATTTTGGGGGAGTCTGGGTGTAAAAAAAGAGAAAGAAGAAAGAAGTGCTCTTTGCCCGCTCTGTCCAAATGACATCCCAAGTGGCCTCTCTAATGGTGGGGGAGGGGAGGGGGCAGGTGCCTATCTGGGCACATGGACAGAACTGCCCTTAGGCTAGGGCTAATGGTATTGGCTGAGCCTGCTGTAAGCCTCTCTTTTCTAATAGCCAACTTTCTATGTGCGAGAAGACAGGCAGATATTGATTGGCCCAAATGCCCTTGAGTTGACAACATCTGAAATGAAAATCCACAAGGCTAGCACAAACTTTCCACAAGTTCAGTTTCTGGAATCTGATTATGACACTGGATTGTGAAACTGCTCACACATGAAAAAGCCCCCCCCCCCCCTTTATGTACTACCATTTGGCACCTGTAATTGTAAGGAGTTAAGTGGCTTCATCAAGCTTGTTATTCAAATGTCCAATAGGAAGCAGCAACCATGGGCTAATCTTCAGGTGACTGCACATCCGCCCCATGGCATTCGGCTGACTTCTAAAACAAAATGGACTAAGGCCTCATATCAATGACCACCCCCACCCTACCCTACACAAAATGGGAGTTACAGGGGTTTAAACTCACCTCTGAACAGCTAAAAGCAAACCTGCCTTTTTTCCCAAAGTTCCTTCAGTGCCAGTCTGGAGGACCTCTCCGGTTCCGTGATTGGTCACTTGGTAGATATTAGCATCCTCATTTTGTGTCTATTACTCTATCATAGCGAAATTGTTCCCCCTCTTCTCTGTTCTCCCGAACAAGATGCTGAAGTTGCAATTCATAATTTAAAGTCCTGGGAATAGGGAGGATGGCGCCCGCTCTCCAGCTCTTATTAAAACACGCCTCCGTCTTCTACAAATTCCTCCTGATCAATACATTGGCTGCAGGATAAGGCTTAAATCGGGCACTGCTACACACCCAGAACACACTGGTCTTTCTTAGTAGGTTACTCACAAGCATAAAAAGGCAAACCCTTTCAAATTGGCATCAGGACACACACGCCAAGGAAATGCAGGTGGAGCCCACGTGGAATGCATTCTCTCATTGATCGGAAATGCTGATCCTTCCATGGCTTTCCTTTCTTTCCTCATTAATCTTACTTAACCTTCTACAAACAATGCCAGCTCTGTCACTCCAAATACCCAAAATGCCGTGCCGAGAAAGCTGTTTTCCTGGCATTGGCAGATTGGCTCAGAACTCCTGTCTTAAGAAGGGCTGCTTTCCTTAAAAATCCACCAACACAGAAGAGAATAGCTTCCACCCTTGTGGGCTGGGTGGAGGGATTAGAGAGAGGCAGGAAAGAGGAAGAGGGTACAAGGCCAGCCAAGAGGGCAGGCCAGGGGATGGTCCTTCTTCAAATGGGGAGGCTGTCTTGCCAGCTTTAGTCTTGAAGCAACAGGGATGGTAATTATGACTGTAGCAGTCCAGGTCCCCTGTAGCCAGAACCAGATGAGGTCAGGCCCACCTGAAGGGAAATGCGTATGGCTGCCACAGCGCTGGAGGATGGGACACCCAATCAAATGCACATTTGGCGTGTTGGAATCATTTGGTACTTCTAAACACTGATGAAATAGTCTCATATGTAATTGTGTGTTCCTTCCACCCCAATATGGCTGATTTATATGCACAAAAAAACCAAGTTTTTCTCCAAGAAGAAACACTAAGGTTACATGTTGGCATGCTGTCAGATAGCCTCTTGAATTCTTGACACCCCTCATAAAGGTTCTGCTGGCTTATACATTTGCAAAGATTAACACCAAGCCCAACTGCTTTGTTTTTTTTTAATTGCTCCCTCTAAATGAGAGTGAGAGGAGGAAGACTATTGAAAAATCTTGGCCACAGAATTCTACAAGTCCAAGTTAAAGGATACATGGGAGATACCCAGAAAGCAATATCAACAGTCACCACCAACTACACAGGACTGGGAACCCTCACTTCAGCCATGAGTGCTTCTTTCAGTGTTCTGAGATGCCAGGAATGCTGCTGGGGAAGGCAAGAGCCCTTTCTGAATATTTGAAAAGATCAACATCTGAATACATATTAAAGATAAAGTCTAAATGATGCAGAAGAGGCAGAAAAACACCAGCCTAACTTCACAAGGGTGCTGGGCCCTGGTCCCTAAGGAAGGGAACAAAGCCCTGGGGACACATGAGCTAAATGAATATGTTCTTCTTGCATCCAAATATGCATGGCTCTAAATGGCAGGGCATTTTATTGAAAGAAAAAAATATAAATCTCTCAAGCCAGCAGAAGCTGGTGGAGGGGAGGATAACCCAAATCTAACACCAGAACTTTCAGATAAATATTCCCCAGTCTTCAGACAGCTGTCTTCTGTGTATCTGGGAGGTTGGAAACCACTGTTGGGCTCATTCCTAACATTGTGATTGTGACACTTCCTTATGTCTTTCTCATCTCTGTTCCCTGAGGAATGACGGAAAAAAAACAAGGAGGAAAAATAATGCAAAAACATGACCACGGAATTCTAAAAGTCCCTGATTACAAGACACATGGATAACTCCCAGAAAGCCATATCAACAATTACCACCAACTATTTTAAATGCCCAGAACCAGCTGTGGGCATGGGACAGGTGCAACAGTAGAGCAGGAACTGGCTAATACCCAAGCACCATGGCATGGGTGGTCTCCTGGGATCTGCCAGGCTTCACACCCACACAAGCCAAATCGAAGAGCAGCTAAAAGCAAGTTATCTCTGAGCTAGCTGCCATTCTCAAGACAGGTAACAAGTTCTTTCACTTACTTAGTTTATGCATTTATTTGTTTATTCATGTGTTTGTTTATTGCGTGGGGGGTGGGCACGCACATGCACACAGGGGTGGAAGTCAGAGGACAACTTGCTGGCCGCAGTTCTTTCCTCTATCACGTGGGTCTCAGGGAACAAACTTGGGTTGTGAGGCTTGGTGTCACCTGCCTTTATTAGCTGAGGCATCTCTCTGGCCTGAGCCTCTCATGTCTTCACCTCTCTGCCCCTCTGCTTTCCTGCCCTGTCGCCTTCAGCACACAGACCGCTCAGGACCCAGGAAACCTAAACAGGCACTACCTCTCCTCTGTCCGTCTATTTCTCAGCACACTCGGCTCGGCTGACTTCTGTTCACTTCCCGAGAATTTCAGAGAGCGTAACTGGCCATTGGAGGATTAGTCTACCAAAGGACTGCCTGGCCTTGGATGATACTTAGGAATGGAAGCCACTCTCAAGGTGACTCAAGGAGGCCCACTGGCATAAGGGAGCCCTTGACAGTCTGTCAGCATAAGTCGCCTCTCTGTCTTGACCTGAAAGTCAGAGTGTGTCAAGAATGCCTGGCACTCTGAAGAATTACCAGGTTGGGGGTATGGGTCTGTTGGTTTAAGGCTTGCCTGGCATGCAAGAGGCCCTGAGCTACAGCCTGTTGTGTTTTGAATGAGAAATGGCCTCCACAGGCTCATGTGTTTGAGCACATGACCTCTAGCTAGTGGTATTGGTTAGGAGGTTGTGGAACCTCTAGGAGGTGGAGCTTCACTGGAGGAATTAGGTCACTGTGTCTTGAGGCTTTACACCGTCCAACCCTACTTCCTGTTGGTGCTCTACTTCCTGAATACAGATGCGCTATGACCCACTCAGCCTCTAGGGCCTGCTGCCATATCTTCTCCAACATAAAGGAATGATGCCAGGAGGAACCCTTTCTCACTTAAGTGCCTTCTTGTCAGGTGGGCGGCTCTTGCAGTGAGGAGATTAACTAGGACAGAGCCTGCACACTGCATACAACGGGTGTGGTGGTGTGCTCCTGTAATCCCAGTACTCCTGACATGAAGTTCAAGATCAGCCTTGGTTACACTGCAAGTTTGAGGCCAGCCTGGGGGTTCACAAAAACCTGTCTCAAAGAATTGAAAAAAATGTATTATAAAAATAATTATTTTCTTCTGCAGTCATAAACGAACCCACTGCTATATGAGTATATTAAAAAAGAAAAATGGAGTGAATAAATTCAGCCTAAATATTCATGTGCAGGCTCCTGCTCTCTGGCCAGTCGTCACCACTTCCTATGGACTCCACTAACATGGGACCCTGCCGGCCTTCTAAAGACTAACTAACTTGGGAAGCAAAGGTTAGCCTCACATTGTTATAAAAAGGGCCCGGGGTTCTGCAGAGCCATCCTTAGGAATCTCCTGTGGAGCAAGTGTGGACATGCCTTTCTCAGTCTGTGAGCAGGAGCTGTAGGATGACCAGCTGCTCACAGAAGTGTGTCCTATTGGCCTCTCCACCTTATACCAGCTCGATGACCTTATACCAGCTCCATGTGGCGACTGGAGACTGGACAGTTCACCCTGGCTTTGTGCAGAGAAAAATACCACTTACTTGTGTACCAGGGGAACTTCATGGTATGCTTTCAGACAAAGGAACCATTTAAGAGAGTCTACTCCAGCATCACAGCACATAACTCCAAACTCCAGTATGAGGCTGGCCCCTCAGCCTCTGCCTAAGGAGATCCCCCTTCTCTTCTGATTTTGGCAAATAAAACAGGCAGGTGAAATGGTGTGTTCCAATTTTACCATAATACATGGTTTTTCACAGACTCTTAGGAATGCAGAAAGGAAGCAGATTTTTGTCTTTCTAATTACTCTTGCCATAATGACTATAGTTTGGGGCATATTATCCTGATTTCTGTTCATTGCTTACTTAACTTTTTAAAACTAAAGTGCAATTGTATTCCACATACCATTTTACAACCAGGCTTCCTTACTTTGAAATATAACCTGAACAGTGCTCTTCCAAGTCTATGGGAGGATGGAGAGCCATGGCTTCCTGAATGGACCCAAAGTGCCTCTGGCCTACATTCTGATAAACAATGCTGGGAGGAACTCCTCCTGGATGAATCTGTGTCCACACATGACTGTGTCTCTAGGGTAAACAAAGAAGGAAAATGCAAATAGAGCACTTTCATTTAGCTGGCTTGCATTCTGTTTAGTTAGAAAGGAAATGAATTTAGAAAATAGATGGATAAAGGCTAAAGAAAGAGTCCAATCAGTAAAGTAACATCCCAATCAGTAGCATTCTTGTCCATGCATGAGAACCTGAGTTCAATCCCCACAACCCACACAAAAAGCTAGGCATTACGTCATGCTTGTGATCCCCGAGCTGGGGAGGTAGAGACAGGCAGATCCCTGGAGCTCACTATACTCTAAATTGATAGCTCCTAAGGAATCACATCGGAGGTTATTTTCTGGACTACACATACACACACACACACACACACACACACACACACACACACACACGCACGCACGCATGCATGCATGTACACCTACATATGTGCACACACATACAAAGAAGTATAAAAATAAATTGCAACTTGATGTAGCAAACTGTCCCCTATTCTTCAGATCCTGCTCCCATCTGAACTCCTTGGTTTGGCCTCTGCCTTCTTCAGATCACCTTGAGCCACACATGGCCAATACTTCTGCTTCTCAACATGACCTCTGCAGGTACCACAGCAACAGTGCCCTCTGGGCACCTCCATGGCTCAGAGCCCCTGTCTCCTGCACCAGGAAAGAAGGAACACAGCACTAGACAGGAAGAATCACAGGGGCCAGTTGCCACTGCCTACCCAGGGTCACCTTTCCCTAAAATCTGGGAATTCCATTCCCTGATCTGCACTCATTGTCCTTAGAGGAACAGAATCTAATTACTTTTTACTGGGTTCCCTATCTTAAGGAATCATCACCTCTTAATATCACTACAATGGCAGCCAAGTTTCCAGCCCCCAAACCTTTAGACAATAGACTCAAACCACATAAACCACGATGGTCACCTACATACACCGTGTGGCAGACAGCACTCCACCACCACAGAACATGGGGACATTCAGATTTAAATCTGAATGAGGCCTTGAGATTAAAATTCAATTCCAAGGTTGGGCTAGCCACATTCCACACACAGTCACATTTTTGGATAGGACAGAAGGAAACCCTAGTTAATATGCGCAGGCTCCTGGCCGGCTCTGCCACCACCCTGAAACACACCATCATCTCTCTCCTGAGCCCTAGCCCCATGTCTGAGAAGCCTGGGAGCTCAGTTCTCATTTTACTACATGGCAAATTTGTAAGAATCACTCCTCTTAATATGTTGGGTAATTCTTCTCCTGAACCATTTCATTGGCTCTTAGACAATAGATACAATATAATAAACCAGTTGCCCTTGGCTGGCCTGATGGTAGATACTAATTACCTAGT